AGTTTGCCCCAGCTGGATCCATCCCCTGTTCCTCTGGAAGCACCAAGTGTGGTATCTTCCGGTGTTGAAGTTGGTTCTGGCATTTGTGTTGGAGAGCAACAACAACAATCCCAGCCCCCAGTATTCAACCAAGACCACTCCTTTGAAGAACAACGCCTGGAGAATATGCTACACCATACTCAATTAAAAGATTCTCAGCATCGCCATGCAGTTCCAGTTCCAGTTCCAGTTTTATATACAGACCGGAAGCACTTTCTGGTCAGGTTGTTGTTGTTTCTGACATTTGTGCTGGAATGCAACAACACCAACTCCCAGTATTCAACCAGCATTTCCATGCAGTTCCAGTAATTTAAAGACTGGAAGAAGCTTCCAGTGATGATGATATTGTTGTTTCCGATATCCATGCCAGGCAGCAGCAACACCATCCCCAGCCCCCAGTATTCAACCAAGACCACTCCTTTGAAGAACAACGGCTGGAGTACATGCTACATCATACTCAGTTTTAAAGAAGACTCCTCAGCATCTCCATCTCCAAGCAGTTCCAGTATTTTATAGAGCGGAAGCGTTTTCTGGTCAGGTTGTTGTTTGTTCCAACATTTGTGCCAGAACGCAACAACACAAACCCCAGTTACTCTAGCTGAGTGCTTTGCCTCAGCTGGATCCATTCCCAGTTCTCAAGGACTGGAAGCCCCAGTGCTTCTGGTCAAGATTGTTGTTGTTCCTGTCTGATGTGGTAGACAGAAACAGCAACACCCCCAGTATTTGACATCCTGACCAACAGTGGCGGGGTTAGTGGATTTATTACCAGTGTCTTCTTCAAGAAGATATTCAAACAGCTGCTCCTTTGGGCAGGCTCAGCTGTCATTTGGTGAAAGAAGTACAAAGTTTCCTTCTTTTTTTTTCTTTTTTCTTTTTGACTTGCACGAGATACGTGTACTCTTAGTATATTTAAGTGTGTATGAAATTGAAATTATAAGATTAGAATTATTCAAAGATTACCTAGCGCATTCATGAGAATTCCAAAGTTCTGATTAGATCCCTGTGTAGATGTGGTACTGATTCTACACAAGGGTTCTCCTATTCCTGACTCGTGACATCTTTGTTCTTGGCAAGGTGTTCTTGTTCTCAATCTCAATTGTACCTTGTAATTCTTCGACCTCTTGGTACAATGGATTGTATGATATATATATATATATATATATATATATATATATATATATATATATATATGAATAGTACCTTATGACATGTATGTAGGAATGGTATGTCCATCCATTCTGAGGGAGCATCGACTGTACGTACATACGTATTAAAAAAAATCTTAATATTATGTTTTACCTCGTGAACTAGAAGAGGCACTATATGGCCAGAACCATAGCTTTTGTTAGAAAGAATGCTCCTAGTTGCTCCAAGGGGCGGCACTTCCCTCCAAGGAGTGTTAGTGGAAGTGCGACAAGGGGTTTGTTTCACTGGAATTAAAAGTATTGACTGAGCTTGGTTTGAAGTAAACTGGAAGAATGGACAGGAGGAGCCAAAGAAGTCTCTGGCACGGCAGGTTGTTTGTGTCGCTTCTTTTTGGAGTAGGCGTCAAAGACCAGTGAATCTTGTGTGACGCTCTCCGGTGGTTGCTTACTATGAGGCATTGGCGTAAAGTATTGGGTAATTGGTCGAGTGTTGGAGACAGATGCAAGTGTTGCTTTGGTGACACTTGCCAGAATTGTTTTCTTGTAGACTCAAAGGTAATATGTGAGCATGGAAGTAGATGCAGTTGATAAAAAGGTTTCCATATCTTCTGGGAATAAGTGGGCGTGGGATGGACATGTGTGTGCTTTCAGGTCAAACRGAGTGCGGACTTTCGTCACCACCCGCTGTTGATGCTTTGCTTGCTTCTGGGTAATTGTGTAGCCATGGAGATCTTTATTTTGCTGTTCCCATAATGATATATAAGAGGTAAGAAAGAATTCCACAAGATAACCCCCCAACACGAGCGGGGAATAGGAGAAACTGTATGTACATACGTATACTTCCAACACAGTACATACGTATTCTTCCAATACAGTACGTAAGTATCTGTTGCATGACTCCATGTGTCCTCAACCATTGTGGTGTTGACTTGCCTTAATTGGCTTGGCAGTGTGCGTGGCACACAATTCCTTGATCACTGCATCAGTGCTGGCCTACAGGTTGGGGATTGAGGACCCCCAACCTACGGGCTTGGCAGTGCCCTTTGAAAAGGTAATGGCATGGTTCTCATCCATCCAAACTGTGAACCAATTGCTTTTATGTCCTCTGAGTCTAGCCTTGGGCCGTCATTGGCCTATCAGTGTGCATAGAACTTGGTTGTGCCTCCACAAAACCTCCTCAGAGGGAGGCGCCACCMCTCGGAGCAGCTAGAAGCATTCTTTCTAACAAAAGCTATGGTTCTGGCCATATCTAGTGCCTCTTCTAGGTCACGAGGTTAAATAATTTTTAAAAATTTTTTACAGTAGTGACTCTTTTTTACAACAATGTGCTTCTGAAGTCGGCAAAAACATGAGCAGAAAGGATCCAGTGGATGAGGTTGCAAAGATCAGAGCCAATGCTGGCCTATCAAGACTAGCACAACAAGAAAGAGCTGAAAGGCCTCATCCTTCTAAGGGAGGGAGTGAGGGCTATCCTGTCTTCTCTAGGGAACAGGAACTGGAAAGGAAGGCTGCTGACCTTCCTACTTCTGCCAGCAAGGCATCTCTTTCCAGATGGAGTAGACGCCTTGATCAATACAGAAAGACAGGCAATAGGAGCCAGGGCAAACTGGTGGGGAAGGACCTCTTTAACATGGTTGTGTTTGTTTGGATCTATCCAGATGCAACCAATGATAAAATAGCAACTTTTATTTTCAACATGGGAGGACCAAGCTACTCTAATTAAGTAATCAGCAGGAGGTTGAACATGATGGAGCTTACACAGAAGGCTACCTCTAAGGAAGAACCTTAGAGTTACTCACAGTAACACCCAAATATTAAAGGAGGGAACTCTGTGGACAAAAATCATAAGAATTGGAAGATTTACTTGCCCAATGGGCTTGTAGACAGCACCATCAGATGGTATCATCTCTTATTGGGACACTGTGGAACAACAAGGCTCTACAAGACTATCAATGCCAGGTTTCATGCTCCAAAACTTAGCCAGAGAGGCAAGGAATACCACCAGTGTCCAGATTAGTGTCACCGCTTCAAACAACAAGGCCAGGGACATGGTCATCTACCACCATGGGAAGCTCAACTCATCCCTTGGGATGAAGTCTGTGTAAACTTGATCGGTCCTTGGAAGATACTCCTCCCGGATGAGACTGAATTAGTGATTAATGCCCTCACTTGCATCGATCCAGTCACCAACCTATTAGAGATAATAAGAATCAACAAAAAGTCAAGTGAGTACGTGGCTGAACAGTTTGCCAGCTAAGCCTAACAGATGTGTACATGACAATGGTAAGGAATTCATCAGAACCCCATTTAAACAGCTTTTAAATCCATTTGGAATAGTGTTCAAACCACAGTGAAAAATCCTCAGGCCAATGCAGTATATGAAAGAGTCCACCAGACAATTGCCAATGTTCTATGGGTCAATTTTCATACAAGACCAGAGGAGGAATCTGAGTTTGATGAAGAACAACTGATTGACAATAAACTTGCCTCTGCAATGCATGTCACCAGATGTGCTGTAAATGCTTCATTGAAAACCTCACCTGGAGCTCTGGTCTACAATCGAGACATGGTAATGGATATTCCACTTATTGCTGACTTAAATGTCATCAGAGACAAAATGTCAACACGAAATAGATGAAAATCTCAGAAGAGAGAATGCCAGAAGAATACCTTTCCCATATCAGGTTGGGCAGCAAGCCTACATGAAATACTATGAACCAGACAAGCTSTCCCAAAGATTACATGGTCCCTATCCTATAGTGGAAATTAACACTAACAGAACAGTGGTCCTTCAAAGGAGTGACAATGTCCGCAAAACAGTGAACATTTGGAAGCTTGTTCCTTATAAAGGAACTGTCAATGCTAATCCTGAAGATCCAGCAACAATACAGGAGGAACCCCTATTAAAAGTATTCAAGATATGATTGCTACAGTCTAAGTAATGCAATGGATACCTACATACTGTATTGAAAGTATATGTATGTACAGTAGTGGAAGCATACTTATGTACAGTGCTGGATTGGTATGGTCACCCCGTCTCACTACTATCACAATTTTTGGCTCAAGCGGGTGTTGTGCCCAGCTGAGATTTGAAATATTGGTTCAGTTTTCTTTTTTCTTTTATTTTTTACTACTCCACCACATGTGTCCTTGTTCACTGTGTGGTGGCTTTTTCTTAATTGGCTTGGCAGTGTGCTTGGCACACATTTCCTTGATCACTGCGTGTGGTAACTTGCCTTTGGGCTTGGCAGTGCCCTTCGAAATGATAATGGCATGGTTCTCATCCATCCAAACTGTGAACCAACTCTTTCTCTGTATCCTGAGTCCAGCGACCTGCCTCAATTTTGACTTGTCAGTATGCATAGAAGCTAGTCACACCTCTGCAAACCCTCATTGAAGAGAGGCGCTGCCCCTCGGAGCAGCTAGGAGCATTCTTCTCCGTAGTCAGGTGAAGCCAGGGTTCTGGTCATACTGTATGGTGCCTCTTCTAGTTCAAGAGGTTAAATACAGAATTAAGATTTTTTTTGGCAAAACCCGTCCTTGTGGTTGCTGGATCGGATGTACCCTGGATGGGACCGGGGCCAACGCGTTCGTGAAGCACACAGTGTTCCGGCCCGGCCCTCGTTGTCCAAGCAACCAAAATCCCGTTTCCAAGAACGCCGGGTGCCAGAACCACCCAACCGGTGGCGGCACGCGGGGCAGCTTGCACCCGCGAAAAGGGTGGCCCCGAACGCTGCGGTGCGGTAGGGAGGAGGGCCGGCGGATACAAGTAGTTTGTTGCTAGACGTAGTTTGTTCGTTCGTTCGTTTGTTTGTTTGTTTGTTTAGTAGTTTGTTAGAATTCGTTCGTTCGTTCGTTCGTTCGTTGATTCGTTCGTGAAGCGGTTTTGTTTGAGGGAATGCCGGTTCGTGGGCGCGGGCCTCCCGCGGCCGGGCCTACAGCTCGGGGTGGCCCCCCGGCCCGGCCCCGGTGCCGGAGAGGTGGGCTTGGGCCAGGCCCAGAAAGACCCCGCAAAAGACGACGTACATGTCGGACCGGAGGTGCCCGTAGGCCTCAAAGGCGGTCGCGAGGCCGGGGAAGTTCCCGGCGACGAGGGTCCCGATCATCCCCGGGACGGTCCCGGCCCGTTCCTTGGGGTCCCCCCCGTCCCGGCCCGCGATCCGGCGCAGGACCAGGGCGAGCAGGAAGAGGCCGGGGGGGGTCCTCCAGAGGGCCGCGGGGAGGGAGAGGAGGGAGCCGAGGGCCCGGGCGGGCCCGTAGACCAGGGCGCCGAGGATCCGCCGGTGGACCCCCGGGCCGGCCGGTTCCGGCTTGTGGAGGGTGCCGGCGGGCTCGGGCTCGTCCCCCGGTCCGGAAGCCCCGGTGTGCGGGTCCGGGTCCGCCGGGGGGGGGATCCCCCGCTCCAGCGGGGCCAGCCCCCTCCGGACGTCGACCGAGGGGTGGAACTGCTGGTGGCCGACGTCGACGCCGGCCGCAAAGAGGAGGAGAACGAGGCCGACCCTCCGGAAGGCTAGGAACCGGTCGGGGCCGGGCTCGGCCCTCGGGGGGGAGGGGGGGGCCTTGCCGACTGGGGGGGTTCCCTCCTTTTTGCGGCGGAGCATCTCGCGGCGGGTCCGGGCGACGCCCATGTACTTCTTGCGGGGGGGAGCGGCGGCGGCGGCGTCCGGGCCCCGCCGTTCGGAAGGATCCGTGTCGGTAACGGTGTCGGTGGGGGTCTTGGTGTCGTTGTCGTTGTCGTTGTCGTCGTGGTTGCCCGTGTCGTTGTCGTTGTCGTTTTGGTTGTGCTTGTCGTTGTCGTTGTCGTTGTGGTTGCCCGTGTCGCTGCCGGTGACCGTGCCCGGAGCGGCAGCCCCAGACGGCGGCGCCGGCTTTTTCCCGTAGCGCTTCTGGCGGGCCGCGCGGATCCGGGCCGCCCGGGAGGGGGCCTCCCCCGTCTCCTCCCCGTTCACGAGCTGCATCCGGTTGCCGGCCTTTTCGAGGATCCGCCGGCGCCGCTTCTCGGCTCTGGCCCGGGCGGACTCCATGGTGGCGGAGAGGTCGGCCCCGTCGTCGTCGTCGTCATCGTTGGTGGTGTCGCGAATGGCGTCGTCGTTCCTCGAGCTCCCGGCGACGGCTTCGGCACCCTCGTGGCCCGAATGGTCTTTTGGTATTTCGGCCATGGCGGCTTGGGTGTTGCTGCTGGTGTTGTTGGTGTTGGTGTTGGTGTTGTTGTTGCTGTTGCTGTTGGTGGTGCTGTTGCTGTTGCTGTTGCTGTTGCTGTTGGTGGTGCTGTTGGTGTTGNTGGTGTTGTTGTTGCTGTTGCTGTTGGTGGTGCTGTTGCTGTTGCTGTTGCTGTTGCTGTTGGTGGTGCTGTTGGTGTTGGTGTTGGTGTTGTTGGTGTTGGTGTTGTTGTTGTTGTTGTTGTTGTTGCTGTTGCTGTTGCTGTTGGTGGTGCTTTGCTTTGCTGCAACGGGAACGGCGAAAGAAGGCAGCGGAGGTCGCGGCCGTCATGCCACGGTCGCCGTCATCGCATCGCATGGCATGGCATCGCATCGTATGGTATCGTACGGTATGGCATCGCACCGTGCTGCCAGCCTCGTACGAGTAAGGTACGGTATGCAACGGTATGCAACGTTGTCTTACGGTATGTTGCCATACCGTAAGGTGCAAGCACCGTATGGTGTCTGGCGGTTAGGGGGGACGTACGTACGTACGTACATACTGTAGGGTGGCGGCTACGTACGTACGTACTAGTACCGAATCGCATCGCATCGCATTGCATCGTACATCGTACTGTACCCGTCTTCCGTACGTACCGCGCGTTCTACGGTAGGGACGTGCGGTACGGTACGGTACGGTACCGTAGCGTAGCGTAGCGTATTGTAGCAATGAAGACGCACCGAAAGGAGCTTTTCCTTTTCCGCTTTTCCTCTTGCTGTACGGTCCGGTATCGGTGTAGCGAGTCCCGCAAGGCCTGGACTGACAATGGCACCAAAGAATGGAGCGCACAACAACAAGAATGAGTGGCTGAGAGCCATCCTAACAGCTGGCAGCTGTTAGCTGTTAGCACCAACAAGAGGTGCGCCTTAGCCTCCAGTAAGTAGCTGCTCACTAGGTTCACTATTGCTACTACCAACAGCAAGAACGACTGAGACAGCAGTAGTACTAGTAGAATACTAAGAGCAATTAGCTCGGAGTATCCTCTAAAGGGACAGCGTCACACAAACTGGTACTATGGTACTTTGTTTTTCCTGGGTACATAAAATAAAATTCGCCCGTGTATTTTGTGATGCTTGCACGTAATTATCTGGCCATTTTCCTTGGAACATGTTCTCGTACCACTCATTTCTCATGTGGAGTTCGATGCCCTTTCTCATGCTCGAAATGCCCTTTCTCATGCTCGAAATCAATTCTTTTTCATAGAAAATATTATCGCATTCGGAGACAAATTGTCTCAACCATTCAAAAAGTACCATGTGGCGTCATGAAAATATTTTTGCTACTTCATCAATTCTTCAGGTTGGTTTTCAATTCCTCTTTCCTTATGCCAACTCTTCGGAGCCCAGCAACAATTTCTCTATTTCTGTTGACAAATTTATTTCACAATGAAGCTATTTTACTATCTAACCGCAAGGGATTTATTTCTAAATGTTTTGTGCCGCTATTGTCGTTATTTTTGTATCCACTATGTTTCGTTATGATTACTAACGCCGGGGTTCTCATACAGCCCGTATCTTTGACTTCAGCTCATTTAAGTCATCATTGTCCTCCCAGTATTTTTTTCTGATCAAAATTTTTCTCCATTTTGCGCAACTTTCTTTTTTTATGAATTCTATCCTCCCTGCCGTCTCTGTTTTCTCTTCTGTATGCCGCCCTTAGTTCTTGTTCAATCTCCGCTGAAGCCTCTTCCCCTCTACGCTTCTTTACCTCTTCTACTAACTTCCCAAACAGCATATGTCCCTTGTAGCTCCAGCCTTCTTTGTTACCTATCCTACTATCGGTGAATCGTTTTCAGGTTTTCTTTCCACTCCCTGAATTATTCCATGATTCCTAGTCATTGTACAAAAACAGCAATGCAAAGGCTTCGTCTGTTGCGGTAAAAATGGAGCTCAGTTACTCCTTGTGTCGCCTTCGCTTGAATTCCGTTTGTTTAGGGGACACTGCCCCTAAAATCCTTGTTACAAAGTACTTGAATTCCAGACTATTTTCTTGTCTGTAGCTACTTCTCAGGAHGTACGTCTCTCCTTCATCTCCTTCCAATATGAAGCAGTTGCCGCCAAACGTGTCTGGTACGTTATTGTTTTTTTTGTCTTCTGTTCTTAACAAACAACGATCGTTGATCGTGAGTCACAAAAACTTTAATTTTGTTTGGTAACCTGCATGTACTTACCCTTGCAATTTTTCCTTGCCAATGTAATTTTTCCTTGTCAATGTCTGCGCGTTGTGTCTGCAAGCATTGATAGTCCCTCCCCACCTTGCCGTACTGACCTCCAAGCTATCTGGAACCGGGTCCGTACCGAACGTAGTTTCGAGGTTGACCTCTATGATGGCATCTAAAACTTCATCTTCAACAGGAAACTTTGTGTACTTGAAAAATCTCTCCTTAACGTATGTAACCAGATTATTCTTCATGAAAGTCTCATGCTGGTTTTTATGTTTTTGTATCTTCAATCACTGCATCTTCTTGCCGTCCATTGTCATTATTTGTTCCCTCAACCATGTTGTGCTGCGTTTTACTTTGTATGATAGATATATTAGCTCCTATAGCTCAAATAGGACCAACAAATGCATTCCGATTAGCACTTTTCTATTGTATTGAATGACGCCAATGGAAACAAGATGTGTATTTCCTGTGATGAAACAACTTACTGCTTTAGCAATATCTACCTATGCAACGGATGCGTACGTACAGTATCAGAAAGTATACGTACGTACTGAAAAGGAAGCATACGTACATATGATGCTCCCTCGGAATGGAAGGACATACCATTCCTACCTACATATCATAATGTACTATTCATATATATATATATATATATATAATATATATATATATATATATATATCATACGATCCATCATATTGGAGATCGTAAGAGGTCTGAGATATCATTCGAAGAATACCTCACAAAGAATAGAGATGTCACGAGTCCGGAATAGAAGAACCTTCATGTAGATTCAGTACCAGATCTACATGAGGATCTAATTGGAACTTCAGAATTCTTGCAAACGCGCTCTGTAATCTTCGAATAATTCTAATCCTATAATTCAATTTTCATACACACTTAAAACATACTAAGAGTACACGTAATCTCGTGCAACCTATTACGTGTGATAATGTGATTTCTTATGTACTAACTTATTTCTTTCTTTGTCAACTTTATTATTTTTATTATTTCCTTTGAAGTTTATTCCATTTTGTGACTTCGCGCCAGGAAGAACCTTGGCTCTTTTTTGCTCCACACCACATATATTCCCTTGCCCTGGTATGAATATCAGGTTTGGGTTGGAAATATTCTGGCGCGGTTTGTGTAAGATTTCCTATGATTTGGTACATCCTGTACCTCTATAGGGTGAAATGAGTATGCACGTAATCTTGTGATACGTTGGATGATTCCCGTCCACAAGTTTTCATGTTCAAGGGTCACACTTCTACATTTCTTACCACTCTGCACACCTGCTGCAAACCATGTGGTACAAAAACCTGGAACGGCGTGTCGGCTTTCGACAGTGTGTCACCCAATCCATAACGAACGGAAAATTTCAAAATAACTGTTGTGCCGTCAATAGTGGTTTTTGACGATCACAAAAACACATTTCCTTTATGAAATTCACACTCCATAAAAAGGCAAAATCCCTTCTTTATGGTTTTGTTTCACAATCATCTCGCTGAAGTTTCCATTTCACCATGAGTAACAATATGAATCCAGCCCTACATACAACCGAACCCAAGCTTCGTGCATTGCTTGCAAAACACGGCCTTCACATACAAGAAAAGCAGAAGGAACTTCTGAAAGCCGTTGAAGATGCGTTGGGAAAGGAAGAATACTATGACACCAATTTTGGCGAAGCGGTAAGCAAACATATTGCAATGCTGTTTAACAAACTCACAACTCGTGCTTACATCGCCAGTAACGCGAGGACAGTTACAGTGTTGACAGATCAATTTTGTATTAGCAGAAGTGAAGTGCCCACATAACTTGTCGTGTTGCTCCGTGTCGCCTACAAAGAAAGCAACAGCAAACTTYAACCTAACATTCCAGAGTTTACCATTCCATGGACAATTGTGCCACCAAATATCATTTGACGATTCACAAATTACACGGAATGATGCAAGAGTGGCCCATAGACCATTATACAGATTGTTTACGTTGTCAACGGACACATTGCTATTTCCTTGAGGGTGGAAGTAAAGAGTCTCCCAAGCGTTGGGCCTAGTGGATTGGGTAAAATCACTGAATATACCGAGAGTCATATTCAATGKGCAAAGGGTTGTGCTTCCGTGTCTGTCTATCGCAATGCCATCCATGTAGAATATAATGGGAACCAACAATTCATCCTTGTCCAGATGGCATTTTTTTCCACGTTTCGACCCACCATTCCCTGTGGTGAAGTTCGCAAATGAGAGAGTCCACTGTAAATTCGGGAACTTGACAAGGAGAAGTGGGGTTGTTTTCATTGGGAAAAGATAAATTTTCTTCTTTGATTAATGAAACATTGGTCAAGAGAGATTGCAATGCTTGTCTAAAGGACCTTACATAGATTACTTTGTCGCCGGCTTTGTTGTTAGAATGCCRTTCAATAAGCTGCGGTGTAAAACAATCACGGCGTAGTTCAGGAACTGCTTGGTAGCATTCTTCTAGAACAGATTGGCAAGTTTTGATCAAACTGGATCCAGTACTCCAGGTGAAACCTGACAACCCCTCTGATTTGATAGCCCATTCATAAAGCTCCCTTTTGGCAACTAAGGGTATATTGTGGTCTCTCATGATCTTCATTAATTTAATTTTGACCTTAGTTGAGGGAGGTAACAATCGATATTCGAATGGTGTTTTTATTACATCAACGAGAACCAAGTCAGAGCACTCCTCCTGATTAGCGGGTTTGTAGAAAACATCATTGTCCAGATCAGAATCGACGGATTCCATTGCAGAGTCTATTAACACACGATCAACTACTTCCACGGATGGGTTGTACATAACTTGGTCGTCGAGATTCTGCGGCATGCCACTAGATGGTCCGTCCTGGGTATTAGTTAAACAAAACCGCTGGCTAATGCTGATCTTTTCCTTAGAAGTTTTGAACAATGACAAACTGAAGTCGTGGGTCCCGTCCCCGACATACACGTAATATTCAAAGCAATCCTTGCTGAGATGAAGATGAGTGAGTAGCTTTGGTGACGTGATAACACCGGATTTTTTGTCATGCTTGGCACTGTAAAATACAGGATGCTGGTTTTTCCAATCTCTTGAGCCGTGACAGTTTTGACAGAATGGGGGGCATGATAAAGAACAAAGCTAAGTTCCAAGCAGAGGATGAGTTTTTTCATGCTTTGGAAGTAAAATTATGCTTGTTTTCAGAAACATGTTCTGGATATATGAAGTTGTGCAGGAATTCTCTAAACTATTATCTAATCACAAAAGACTAAGGGTTGACCCTGAAACTTTGATGGTGTCAACTGCGTGAAACGCACAATACCATAGATCCGGTTTGTGTGACGAGGGGACAGGCCCATGCATGCCCCAGTCCTCATCTTCTCCTTACTCCCATGAGCACCACCACCTTGGGGGAACCGCCAATCCCAGCTCATGGAGGTATGAAGATCTGTTCCAGAACCAATCAGCTAATCCTTTTGGGCTTGATACGGATGCTTGCAAGTCCGCGTACGAGACAATGTACCAAAAATTTAGAGGAACAGGACCAAATCCTCCTATGGCTGTGTCGTTGTTGGAGGAGGTCCGTGAACTCTTTGAAGGACAAGCCATTGGAGGTATAGGAATCTTTGTGAACAATCCCACCTCCACTCCCTGGCTCCAAGTTATACATGGAATTCCAAAATATCCCAGTAGCTTGCTAATTGCCTCCCCCAATGCCGGCACGACCTTTGGTTACATAGACGATGTCATATCCGGGAGAGGCAAGCTGGTTCAGGTTACAACAAGCATGTTTTCCATCACTAGATCTGTGTGAGTGTACACGACTGCCCAACATTGCTTGGTGCTTGAAGCCAACCCCGATGCCACCTTTTTAGACCCACTCAGCGATACTGACCTACACACGGAGGGGATAAAGTGTCAACACACTTTCTTCTTACCATTCAAGTTGATTCCATTTTCACTTAGCAAGAACCTCACACTGCGCCAAGCATTCTTCATCATTCAGCTGTGGCTAGCCGGCAAAGGACTCACCCACAGTGCACGCCCCCTATTAGACGCTCTAAGAGTGGCTGGKACACACAGAAGCAATGAACACAGTAACGCCGTATGTGAAATAGCCGCCAACAAACCCAGGCAGAAGCTGATCTCAATGTATACATGGACCAAAAGTTCCTCTATTGGGACCTGCCAGGCTTAGTTTCTGTCCCCTC